GTAGCCCCCTGAGATAGTGTTGTTAGTGAAGACTCGGTCACCTTTCTTGAAAGCAGACACATTATTCCCAATGGACTCTATAACCCCCGCCACATCAGTGCCAGGGGTATAGGGTGAAAGCGGTTTTCTAATATAAGTACCAGTGTGAATGTATGTCTCCACGGGGTTGATACCACATGCATGGACTTTGATTAGAACCTGATGTTCTTTTGGAACTGGCACGACCACATCCAACTGGAGTTTCAGCACTTCTGGTCCACCAAATTCAAAAACTCTAATAGCTCTCATCAACTTCTGTCTAGTCGCCATGGTGATGTAGACACTGCCTCTACAGCAGGGATGAAAACCTGCCACCACTCCCTGGGACTTCACAGGAGAGCTGCCAAGTTCTTATTAATATAAACCTACAGGTATTTCTTAATACCACAGAATCATGAAGACTTGCAGTTATCAGTGTTGTATAATAATTAAAACATTCAAACAATTAACAAGTAACTTCACTGAAAAAGAATATTCTGAGTGTTTGAAAAACTCTTTATAAATAGTGATTGATACATTTATTATGCATTTGGTACTGGAGATAAACACTTCTTATATAAAACATAGTTTTAATACACTGCTCTACTAATGAGGCTAGTTATTAGATACAATATATTTAATACTAAAGAATAAAGCTTTATCTTCCTATTTTATTTATAGGAATCTTATCAATGAAGAACTTTGTGTCCAACAATAAAAAGCAGGTATATTGCAAGTGCCATTCTGCAGGAGAAGCAGAAAGAACCCCGATGCCTGCAGTACATGCTCTTTACAGAGATGGTTCTGAGCAACAGAATGAAGTGCAGACCAAATGTTTGTAACGTTTGTGTACCTGTGTGATAATTAACATCTCCATACACTAAAAAGAAAAAGAACAATACCAAACACAGTGTTTTCAAAGATTATAGCACATTTAACACCTTCAGCCATTTACTGAGATCAGATTGGCAACTGAAATTTCACATCTACATGGGCTTGCTTGGCTACCATCACTATTTCAGAGAGCTTTACAAGCATTCTAGCAGCTTCATCCAAGTCATCACAAGCAAGAGTTTTAAGCCCACTGTCTGCTCTCAGTGCCTTGACTTTATCAGCTCATGCACCTTGTACCACAACAGGTATTTTCATTTCCAAGTCTCTTACTGCCATGACTACCCTGTGCAATACCATCACATCACATGATTCCTCCAAAAGTGTTGACCAGAATAACCAGTACCTTTTTATCTGAAGTGATAAGCTTAAATGCTTCTGTTACTTGATGAACCGTGGTACCACCACCAACATCAAGGAACTTGGCTGGTGTCCCTCCATGAAGTTTTATTATATCCATGGTGGCCATCGCCAAACCCGCACCATTTACTAGACAGCCTGTATTTCCATCAAGGCCAATATAATTGAAATCTGCCTTAGTTGCATCTCTGTCCCTTTCATCTTCCTGGGTCTAGTCCTGAAGATCAAAAATTTTCTTTTGGCAATAGGCTGAATTTGAATCAAAACTGATCTTTGCATCCATACAAAGCACTGCTCCATCTGAATCTTTTACCATTGGATTTATTTCTACCATGGTTGCATCATATTTCAGAAAAAGGTTATAAAGCCTGATCATGTTTTTTGCTGCAGAATCCACAATATTAGGTGGAAATCCCATCTTCTCTGCTAGCCAGATAGCTTGTTCCCTTTTGATACCTTCTACAATATGAACAGGTTCTTTAACTATGGCATCAGGAGTCTCAACAGCAACATCTTCGATATTAACACCACCTTGTGAACTCCCTATTAATACAGGACCGTGAAATGACCTTTCCATTGTTACTGCAAAGTAGTATTCTCTCCTGGTGTATTTTCGCTCACAAATCAAAACTTGATTACATATTCTGCCCTTTTCTCCAGTCTGCTTGGTAAACAACTTTTTCCCAATCATCTGTGAAGAAGCTTATGTTTCTTTTGGAGAGAAAACTATCTTCACTCCTCCTTTCAGGTCACTTTCAAATGTTCCTTCTCCTCTACCTCCAGCTAGAACCTGTGCCTTTATCACAACATCTTTCAAACCTAATTTTTTGGCAGTCGCATAAGCTTCATCTGCTGATTTTGCCACATATCCTTTGGGAATAGAGACACCAGCTTCTTGCAACAGTTCCATACTCATATGTTCATGTAGTGAGAGGCTGCTTTGCTGTTACTGCTGTACTTGGGAGTCCATGATTATTAAGCAACCCAGAATTTCCCAGAACCTGGGTGGTGGCCCGCAATGCCATCCAGGGCTGGTGGCTCCTAAGAGTGGCCACAGCCAACAACAGGCTACAGAACACGGAGGCCGCCATTTCTGAGTCTGACCCCCAATTCTGAATATTTTTTAAACCACGCACTCAGTTTACAAATTGCTACAAGGTATCTGCAAAGGAATTTCCCCTTGCTAAGTTCTCCACACATATGCCACAATGAACATATACAACATGTGATCAAAATGATGAATATTAAAATTTATTACAGTAAAAGACACATTGGCATCAACACTCCCATTTTGAAAGCACTTTTCCCATTGTTCTTGTCACTTTCTGAAGCAGCTCTGGAAGGACCTTGAGTGTCTTTATGAAGTGTATTCCAAATGTGAATGCTGCTGCTGTATCCAACAGAAAGGCAGGCCTGGAACGACGATGGTGTGTCCCTGCTCACCTTATTCACTTGATCTGGCACCACGCAACTGCTGGCTCTTAAAATGATCATAAATGGAGGCACTCTGAGTCTCTGAGGACATCCAGGCACCCACAGCAGTGTAACAAAAAGAGGACTTCCAGAATTGCTTCAGAAAGTAGCAGGAGTCATGGGATATCTGTGTTCAAAGTTTAGGGGTGGGGGAGAGATTTCTGAGGGGAATTCATGGCAATGTGTCTTCCTGTAATTTTAAAAAATTTAAACATTTTTTAAAGCATACTTTGTATATCTCCTGTGTGTATGAACGTATGCACATGAGTCTTTATGTGTTTGCTCTGACAGATGAGGTGTTTGTCGTGCGTATCTTGGGGCTGGGATGGGACTCTGTATTCTGAACCGTGTATCCAGGCTTCGTACAGAAAGAAGTAGCTTCTGCTCTTGGCAGCTGGAGAAGGAAATAAAATTTTAAAAAATGCTAGGAGGTTGACCTGCTCCTTCCTTGTGCCTCTGCCAGCTGGCTTTGCTCTTTGGAAAGTCTGTGGACATGTTTTTATGAGATAGAGCTCATGTCGATATGCCACACCTGCTCTCCTAGCCTACATTATTAAACAAAGAGTAGCTGAGTGAATGATTAATTTTTATTGAATTATAGTTATATTAAACATGGAAAAATTATCTGTTTACTGCATGGAGAAGTAACAATATGTTACCCTGCTTATGTATATACAAAATATAAATGATATATAAGGTAAAACACAGGTCAATTTACAACAACAGCAAGAAACTAACATTGGAGTTTTCTAGTTTGTTTAATTAATGCAAGCACATTTACTCCTGAATCCACATATCAATTCTACAATCTGAACAAAGCCCCTATTCCAAATCAGCCAGACTTTAAAGCCGAAATGTTCAGGGGAGATGGTTTGCTTTCCTTGTATTAGTGCACAGGAAGATAAAATAATTTATATTTAAATTTTAGAAGTTTTGGATTAGTGAACATTATTTGATTCTGCTATCAGGAATGACAGAGGCTTAGAGACTACCTCTTGGCAAAAACCCTTGGAATAGAGCTCAGATTACCTTTTGTGGACATTTTTTTGAGGACATTTTATGGGCAAGGAACTGTTAGCCTCTAAAGATTACAGAGGCAATTACCTGTTCTCATATCTAAGGTGTTAATGATCTGGTGTCATCTGTCTTTTTTAAAAAAATGAAAAATATGTATTTGTCATCTTGAGTAAATGTAGTAACTAAGCAATGTGATTTACTCAAGATTCAAATCCACAGTTTTAGAGAAAGGAAATATTAGATGTTTTTTGGCTACTGGGTAGTAATAGGTGTTAGTACATAGTTGGTGCTAACTCAATGGGGATTGAAGATAATGTCTAATCTTTAACTTCCTATGGAAAGGATTTGCTTTGTTAATAGCTGGTTTTAATCTACCCACATTGCTTCCAATCATTACTTTAGAGTACTAGTTTGATTAACATTGCAAAGTTACAGTCTTCTAAAATGTTAGCTGCCTAACATGTGATGTTCATGTGAACAGAGGTTTAACTGTGGCTATCAGCAGACTTGCAGGAAGGACCTACCAAATGCCGACAGAAATTGGATTCCAGGTGTGAAAAACCTGAACTACATTTAAATGGCCATTTTGCTAATTTATCATGTAGTTTGAGATTTAACTTTATTATGAGCAATTTTATTTTTAAAACATTTATCCACTCAAAGACTTTTAGGACTGGCTTTTCATTTTGGAATAGCGTTAGTCCCATTTCTAGTCGAGGCTCCATGATGTAGATGGTTCAAACTCAACAGAATGAGATGAAAAGACCAAACCTTTTCACTCTTTAATATGCAAATTTGCAAAACAAATATTGCAACAATGGTCTATTGATATGAGTTTGTTTGGTTTTGTGTTTTTGAGACAGAGCCTCATTATACAGCTCAGCCTGCTCTCAAACTTGTGCTCTTCCTGGCTCAACACCCCAAGTGCTGGGATTGCGGGTGTGTGCCACCCCCCCTTGGCTGTAGGAGTGTTTTGCATTCTTTCAAACCATCTGGATTTCAATCTAAAAATTTTAATTGATATTTGTTTTAAATATAAATTAACTATTGCCTATTTATATTAGCTAAGATTTTGGCAAATATACATTTTTGCATTTCAAAAGAAATGTAATTTCTAGGTGGGCTGCATTTGAAAATAAGGTATGTTTAGCTTTCTGTATTTTAGTAACTACAAAGGGAAGAGGAGAGCTTTGCACCTAAGGATGACTTTCGCTGAAGAGTCTCAGCCAAAAGGATTCACTCCACTTGGTAAGGAAGGATGCTGGCATGGAGAAGTTAGGCTTGACCAGACTCAAATTGAAACTAAATCAGGCCCTCACCCTGTCCCCAGTCTGGGCACAGCTGTGCCACCCTAGAGGGTGGTCTCTCCGTCAGCCTCTCTGGCATACTCATCCACATCTGTGAAGTCATAGTCAGATTCCATCTCTATCTTCACCTGTGGCACCATGAAGATGGGGTTCCGGGAGTAGTTGAAAGCAGGTGAAGCTGGACAGGAGATCTTGAAGTGCAAGGTGATGCTGAACAAGAGAAAAGGGAGAAAGAAGAATGATGATCCATATTTTGCAATATTTTAAACACAATGCCCAGAGCAGGACTCTGACACAAGTAGTTCTGCCTTGCGTATGAACTAATGCATCACAGGAAGAAAGTGTCTGAACTGGTCTATCTGTGTTCAGCTTATTTTCAAGTCACTGCCAAAGCAAACTTTCTAACTCACAAATGAGATTGTTTTCCCTCTTGTTCAAAGGTCAGAACTCAAGCTCCTTAGCACAGCAAGGAGGACTTTCTCTGCCTGAATTCCTGCCTACACTCCTCGCTTGGTGCCCATCCACCCCTGAACTGGCTCTTTCCCTGTGTGGCTGTTTCAGGCCTGCTCTCCCTCGTGTCCTCCTGTGCTCTGCCCATCCTGTCCATCTGGCAGGATCCTACTGATCCGTTCTAGACTCTCCAGAGAAGGTGAATGCTTCCTGTAGATCGCTGACCTTTCTCCAGTGTACACCCGTTGCTGTTCTTGCACTCATTGCTTGTCTTAGTTTACACATCTTCATACATAGTCACGATCAAGCATCAGATCTAGTAGGTCCTAGGTGCTTAATCTTTGGTAAACTAAATCATGTTGCCAAGGCTTTTTGTTCACTGGAGTGAAATCCTGCTATTTTGTGATCTTTACTTACATCTAGTATTTTCATAGATTTGGTAAGATATCAGTGGTTGGGCAGCATCATTTCTAGTTAGCAAATTTTCTGCCTTTCTGGTCTTGTCCTAGGACTTCATGTAAGTTAACAGATTTTTAGAAATGCTGTGTTCTGGTCCAAATTCTTTCTCTACTTCCTGAAACTGGGGCCATGAGAGGCCTGATTTAATGTAGGTTATTGTTCAAGTTCAAATAAATTAGAAGAGGCAAAATACTTTTCTGCTAACTGGCATATATAAAGATCAGTGGCATTAAGACCAAAGAATCCCTGACTGGAGATATGGGAGGAGAAGGAATATAATTTGACATGTGACATTTCTAGGCTTGGGTGTCCTGGACCTGCAGCTTAAGGAGGGTTGAGCTGCTGATAGGTTTACTCACCCTGGCATTTTAATGGCAGGAAATCACAAACTCACGCAATCCTGAAAAACGCTTGGGCGAGGACCACCTAAGTCTGGAGATCTATCTGCCACTAGTCTCGGGGTAGTCTGTGCTCCTGTGAATCTGGATATAGGACCAAATGACTTGTTTATTCTAGGGCACATGGTGAGGTGTGGGACTGCCCCCACCAGCTTCTCTTTCTTGCCTCTGCATCCTTCACTTTTGAGTCCCATTGTGTAATCAACCAGGATACTTTTTTCATGGGTGTCTTTTCATCAAGGACATTAAGAAATCACATTATTGGCCTGAAGGCCCCTGGCACATGGGACTTGAATCCTTCCTACCCCACATAATCTTTAGTTTTTAGTTTTCCTTAATAACCCTTCTGGCCATTGATAGTTAAATCTATTGCTATTGTATTCCATAAGCATTAGAGTACCTAGTGTTTGGTCTTCAGTATGCATTTATCCTGGCTTTCAATAATATATACTTAAGCTATATGTAGTCTTCTTCTGTGTTGTTTTCTTTTTTAAATATTTGCTTTCAACTTTCTTTGTAATGTTTTGCAATAATTTTCTTTTCTAAAGTTGAATGTCTTTGTCTGTTGCAACTATGTTGTTGATGTCAGTAAGGAGGAGACTCATTTGTAACTTGGCTCTACTGATCAGATTGGTCAGCTTTTGTCTCCCAGTGGTAGAGTAGCAAGGCTTTCTACTGAGATATCAGCTAGCCTGGGAACTCCAGTTCTGGTCATTGCTTAGCTTCTTATGTAAAATCCAACAAGTCTATCTCACAGCCTTTACCTTCGATCCAGTTCTGAGCCACCGAAAGATGCATCAGAGTGAGTAACTCCAACTGGAAGATCTTTTTCCTGGCAAGATAATTAAAATATCAGAGATTAAATAGGTTTGAATAGTGTCCCTCGATCATCTCTTTTTTATTCTTTTTTTTTTTTTTTTTTTGTGGTCAGCTCAGCCCACCCTGGGGTCAGGGCTGGCATGGCATGTGGTGCTGGGGATCAAACTGAGGTTCCTGCATGTTTGCCTATCGTGCCTAAGCTTGCCTAAGCAGGCACTTTAGACCACTGAGTTATCTCTCCAGCCCCTCTTTTCTATTCTCTAACCCTTTGGCAACACTGAGAGGAATTCCGGGGCCTCCAGAGTCAGGTGGCTTTTGGCTCAGTCCTTTACACAAAGGGTTCTTAGCTGGGTTGGAAGTGAGTGAGATGTGGGGAGAGCCAGGAATAGAAAGAATGATGGGCGAACCTAGAGGGGGTGGGGCAGCATGAGAATGAGGAACTAGAAAAGATCATGATGTATTAGGATAGAGGGCGGTGACAGGAAGTCCTCAGGGGTCTTTCATGGTGCTGGTGAGATCATCTGGTGATCCATCTCTAAATTCTATCTTTAAGGACAGTGGAAAGTTCTTTAACAGGAACATCAGAGCCTAGACTTGTGTTGGAATTATTTTTGAAGACTCCCAGGACAGACTGTGGTGCTGATGACAGGCTTGCCCACAAGCTGGGAGGTCCTAGAGGCAGCCACAGACTCTCACAGGATCCTAAGCAATGCTTGACTCTCCACACAGCCTCCCTTTCAGCATATGCAGAGGGCTTGTGAGTCATACAGACCAGACCAGACCAGACCAGACCAGACCAGACCAGACCAGACCAGACCAGACCAGACCAGACCAGACCAGACCAGACCAGGACCTTCAGTTCCAATTTGTCATCCAGATGCCTGTTTGTTTCTAGGGAAAAGCTTGGTTGTGATCTGAGCTCACAATCATTTCAACAAGCCCTGGAAAACATGGGTGGCTTGGGGGGACATGTTTGGATTGATGTGGCCTGAAACACTGGAGCAGAGGGCTGGGGGTATCATAGGCACACAGGAAGGGCAGGAATGAGGGGTCTGGACTAAGTGAAAGTGAAGAAGAATCTATAGGGTGTTACTTGGGAGTTTGCACAACCTTGTCGGCCCAGGTCTCTTTGATCCCTGTTTAGCATGGGGTCCCCCTGAGTTGCAGATGGAAGTTTCTTAAGGATATAGATGGAGGATTAGTAACAGTGAGGAAGAGAGAGGCACCATGTGTTTTACTTACTGGCAATGCAGTGGATACCATTTTGGGGATCTGATGGGACACTTTCCATGGGGATCTTTATAACTGAGGGAGGAGGGAACTGGGGCTGGAGAAAAACAGTGGGAAAAGCTGATGAACACACCCATATAACCACTTAGGCTTTCTTGCCAAGTTGGAAAATTCATACATCCACAGTGTGCAAACCACCGTCTTCTTCACGGACAGGCTAAACAGTGGGGGTGGGTTGCTGCAAACATTCTGGGGCCCACAGAGAAGAAATAGGCACAGTTAATCCACAGTTCTGGACACCCAGCAAACAGGAAGGAACTCACTTTGGAAAGTCACTCAGAAGAGTTTCATTTGTCATGTCACCAGTGATCTACTATTATGAGAGATGAATTTGTGTAAACAAAAACCCATTTTTATTGAATTTATCATATCATCTAAGAGATAGTTTTTCCCCCAACATCAAAAATAGTTCCAGGCACGTGTGAGCTATTCACATGAACTAATGAAAAACTAAGTATCTATCTTAAAAAACGTTTAATCTATGGTTTTAGAATCTGTCTTTGCAAATCATCCACAAAAATATATGAATGAATTATGGTACTCTCTCCTTCTAGGAAGAGGATAACAATACAGAATGGGGGAATTTGAGCCAATCATAACCATTAGCTTAATCACCACCAACCAGTCAGCAAGGGTCCCAAGCCGGAGAGCCAGGGAACAGCTTTCATTTGCAAAAAGCAAGACTGCTAGGAGAACAAGACAAAGTAGATAGAGTCGTAAGTCTGGATCACATTGGGAAAGTGGAAGCCAAGCACAGTGTTAGGAGATGGCAGGGCCAGCTCAGTGTTGAAGAATAAGAGTCAAGATCTGGGAAGTTTTCTTAATATCATCAGTATCCTCATTTGTAATAAACACTTGAACCATTCAGCCTAACATTCTGAGATACACTACAGCTTTTGGACTGCAGCTTGTCTGTCGATTTCCTGTTTGGGGGGTGGGATGCAAGAGAAGCCTAGGCGAGAAAACAGGTAGAAGGGGCAACCAGGTAGCCCCAGGTTCCTGGGAAATAATGCCATTCTCCCTTCATGGGGAACACTTGCCTCTTCCTGCTTTCATCCTCAATACCCTCCAGACAAACCCAAGCAGAGTTTGCGCCCAGCCCTTCCTGTCTGTCCTGAAGTTCAGTCTATTTATAAATCCCCACAATACCACTTCCCCCAAGTCTGCTCCTTATTTGGAAGTCAGATCTATTTCTTTATATTTGCTTTCCATTGTAGAGCCAGCTCCTGTCCCATTCCTTCAGGGACATGTACTGCTGTTGAAAATGGCCCCAATATCCCGCATGAATGAGACAGCAGGCTTGGCCAATCAACTGTTTCCAGCATAGGGAGGCCCACCATGAAGACAGTCACAGGAACAGATGAGCTCAGAGCAGCCCAGACCAAGACCAGCAGAAGCCCCATCTCCTCCTGGGCTGGGTTCATACACTGCTACAGGGCCCCCGAGAAGCCACACCTCCCTGGTCCGGACAGAAACTGAGGGAACTCTCTGGGTCTCCCCCTCTGCCCAAGCCTCACTTCTTCCCCCACCTCCTCATCACTGTCCTCATGGGCCCCTTTCCTTTTCTTCTTTTTGTCTGCCTCCTTCTTCTCCTTCTCTGGGAGGATGTTGTCAATCCAAGCCAGGTCATGCTGAGAGAAGATAAAGTCCAGAAGCCTTCGCACAAGGATGAGGCCCAGGATCTGTGATGGGAAGACAGAGAAGGCTAAAGTTTTGTGGGAGTCCAAGGGAACTCTGTGACTTAAAAAGTTTTCTCCCTCGGCCTAGTTTTGTTACTATGGCAAGTCCTCTTAGCATCAGTGTCTCTAGAGCCATCCCAAAGTCCCCAAGTGTCATTCATTATTCACCCACTCACTCCTACCTTTGTTCCTCAAAACCACAGTTCTTTCCTCAGAACCACAATTCTCTGCCTGCCTGCCTGCCTGCCTGCCTGCCTGCCTGAGCTATGTATTTTAGCTTGGCCTCAAATTTGCAGTGATCCTCCTGCCTCCACCTATAAACATTATTTTTTAAAAAAGGAATGAGGAGGATGCAGCTAATGCTTTGTTCAGCCCAGTTGTATCCCAGGCAGCTTTCTTCTCATCTGTAAGAGGGAGTTAACATCAGTACTCCAGGAACTGGTGTAGGCCAACTGGAACAGTACTCAGTAAACACTAAAAGTTAACTATTGTTATCCTTCAGCTCTGCCACTCTAAGCCCACAAAGACTTGATGGGGAGGATCCATTTCCCTTTCCATGGGGTGCTGTTTCTCAGTCCTGGCTGAATATTTACATTTATCTGTAGACTTACTAAAAATACCAAAGTCGTGCTTTGCCAAGAGATTCTGACTTAATTGATCTGTGTTGGTTCTGATAAGCATCCAGGTTAAGAACCACTGGCCAAAGCCCTTCTGAGAGCACAGTTTGAAGACCTTCCTGTGGCCTTCAGGTGATCAGGGAGAATTAGGTCCCAGGCTCTGGTCCTCCATCATAGGCTGGGCCCACTTCCTTCCTGCAGGATTCTTTAGGGGGTCAAATGCATTTTTGGCTTTTTTATACCCTTTTAAAATTATGGAATAATTTAAAACTTCCATAAGAATTTTAAGACTATTCAAAGAATTCCTATATACCTTTAGCCAGTTCAGATTTCATATTGTCATTAGGTTTTGAAGTCCTTGATCTGTGGTCCTAGTCCCCATCCTCTTTATCTTTTCACATTCAGCAGTTTGTACAGCTTGTGTCTCCTTTTGAGGTCAGTGTGAGTGTTGGCAGGGGGATCTCTAGTCTCATCTTTGCATCCCCTTCCCATGCCTAGGAATTTGGGTGGTTTTGCCCTGAGCTCAGCTTGCAGGTCTCTGTGACACTCAGTCAACACCCAGAAATTCTTTACTCTACTCTCCTGTCCCTTTCTACCACACTGCATTCGGCTGGACGGCCCAACTTGCTCTGTGTCTGTGTTTTCAACCTGACAGAGCCAGGTCATCAGTGAGGAGAAAGCAGAAGGACTGGAAGGTAGGGCCAGGGTGCTGGGCTTTCCAGCAGACGCCTGTCCACATCACCCAGCTGAACAGGTAGGGAGGCCTGTAGCGGCCTTACCATGACTGGAAAGATGATGGCTGCCACAGTGGACTTGAGGATCCAGAGGACGGCCAGGCAGAGGATCTGCACCAAGGTGAAGAGGTGGATGCGGCGCAAGGGCACGTGGCGAAGGAAGGCGTGGTCTGGCTGGTGCTTGGCAGGCATCAAGAAGAGCTTGCAGCGCTCCCAGAACTGATGAGGAGGGAGCAGGCCTTAGGTAGGTGGCCAGGCCCCAAGAGGCACCTGACCTGCTGGGACCTGGACTTAGGAGGGGACCTTGGTGGGGTCTCAGAGCAAGAGAGGGTGAAAGAGAGCATGAGAGAGAGAGCACGAGAGAGAGCACAAGAGAGAGCATGAGAGAGAGAGACAGACAGAGACAAAGAGAAAGTGAGAGAGAGAGAGAGAGAGAGAGAGAGAGGGAGAGAGAGAGGGAGAGGGAGAGGGAGAGGCAGAGGGAGAGGGAGAGAGTGTGAGTAGTAGGACAGACACATAATGCAGAAGGGGTCTTTAGCCCCAGATGAGGGGAGAGGTCTTAGAGATGGTCCATATTCAAAGAAAATGCAACTGAACACAAACTACTTACAAAAATCATAGGATTTCTGTGATAGCTATAGAATATAATATTTTGTTCTGCAAAATTGCCTTAGGAAGTATGGCAAAATGCCCTTTGGAGTTAGCTTGATTTGGGTTTTCAATTCTGAGCCTCAGCTTCCCCATTGGTAAAATGGGAACCTAACTGTAGAGGTCAAACACCCATAAAGTGCTTAGTATAGTTGCTACACTAAGTTACTATGTCACCTGGCACATAGTAAATGGTGGCACCATCAGTACTACTTTTATTGAATTGGAAAAGCAGCATTTGGGGTCTTGGTTAGAACTAAACGTGGAATGCTGACTGGGGGCCACAGCAGCGGGGAGGGGACAGTCTCACCTGGATGCCATTCAGGGAGGCCACACCCATGTAGAGGAAGACTCCATATAGAACTGGCATAGGGATATACTGAAATGAAAACAGAGGTCTGGCTTGAGTCTCTTCTGGGCGGGGGCCTTGACCACCCTGGTCTAGGTGAAGGTGTCTGCCAAACACAGAGGCTGCTGGGGAGCTGGGCAGCCGAGGACCTGAGACCTGAGAGCAGAACTGGGGCCGGCGAGTGGGCGGGGTGGGAAAGGAGGCCCACGCAGGCGGCCCTGCTCCCTCCTCTGGCAGGGCAGCCAGCGAGCACACAGCTGCTCCAGCCCCGGCCCTCTTCCAGTCCTGTGGAAGCCATGCCGTCTGGCTGGAAGCCTCCTTCTGGAAGCTGAGAAAGCGCCACAGACTGTGCTGTGCTTATTCCTGGCAGCCCCTTCCTGCCTCCAGGCTCCGTTGAGGGCCCCCAAAGCCACTAAGCCTGCAGGGAACTGGGCCTTTTAGTGAGGTGACCTACATCAGCAGGGGATACCCAGGACACTTAAAGTCACCCATCATGCACATCAGATAAAAAAGAGGTAAAAAGAGAAACATATAAACAAATCATTAATAATCATCAACAAATCTTCCTTCCAAACATGCATACCAGCCATTTATTTGCTTTTTCAAAAATTGGGTGTCATTCATACTGTGCTACAGTCATCACTCTACATCTTAAAAGCCTTCAGAGACATCTCTCCAGGCTGTTTTTGTGCTTCTTTACCCTCTTCCTTGCCAGTGACCGGCTACCACTGTGCCCAGGAGCTGCCTGGCTCTGGGTAGAAGCACACAAGGCCAGTGTGACTGCCCAATTTGCAGGTAGTATTTATGAACATCGTAAATCAAGTAAATAACCTCTCTTATAAGGTAGTGTAGGCTGCATTGACTTTTAAACACAAAGCATGATTTGGACCTATACACTGTAAATTTAAGCCAAGACATTTGAACTAAAGCTTCATTTATTTATTTAGGGGTTGCTGAACACACTAGGCAAGTGTTATACCACTGAGTTACACTACAGTCCTTGAACTAAAAGTTTAATAGAAAACTATATAACTCTTTTATCATTCTATTAGCATATGGCTTGTGAGATTTTTGCCTAATTATGAATCAAGGTTAAAAACTTTAAAAAACACTGTCCTAATTACCCTCCAAGTGTGGGAGCAACTGAGAGAGAAATTAAATCTTGAGTAAAAATAATTAGCTATAACTTGGAGCAACACAAATTTAAAGTCATTTAAAATTCTTCTTTTGCTCTAATGAGTGCAGAAGTCACATCAACTTTGGGAACTGGATTAAATATTAGGTGATTTCTAATTGCCAGTTGCTGATATGAAGTCATCTCGTTAGGAAGCCCAGAAAAGTGGCTCTCATCTTGTCATTTGCAGCTTTCCCTGCCAACCCCAAAAGGCGATGGCATCCCATTCATTCTGGCGAGGGGGCCGTGATCTGAAATTTCAGATTAATCAGCACGAATCTTCTTTATAGGCTCATTTCAAGTATTAATGAAACATAAAAAGTGGCAAAATGTTACCTTCATTAGCTTTAATAGCATGAGTTACTTCAGTCCATAATGAGCACAGCCTTCTTACACAGTTTGAGGCTGAGACCCTGTGAGTCACTGGGGGCCTGGGTAGAGAGTTTCTGACCTTGCCAGTCCCAAAGAGCTGTAGCAAAGTGCAAACAAAAAAGCAAAACAAAACTTCACAGCCTTGTGACAGAGTGAAAATCTACAGGATTGAGTGCGTAAATCGTTTATGCTGCCCATCCAATCTGTGGCTACCACGTGTCTCTGTGCCTCCACCATTTGACAAGATAACCAAATAGCTGCAAATTGGTGCTGGAAAGTCTGGAAGTTATCACTGATTACAATGTAAAATACAATGATTACAATACAATCATTCACTGATTCTCACCGGAGGAAAGAATACTTACTACTCATAGTGGGATAACATCGTTAGCATCATCTATGATGTTGCTAAAACTGTCAATTTTGCCCCAAACCAAACCCTATTGAGTTAGAATTACCATCTGCTTTTAATAATATCTCCAGCTGATTTTTATACACATTAAAATTTGAGACACAGCTGGGCTCGGAGGCTCACACCTGTATCTCAACACGCGGGGAAGGAGAGGCAAGAGGATTGAAAAAATAAAGTCTATCCTGGGCAACAACTTAGTAACCTTGTGAGACCTTGTCTCAAAATAAAAAAATGAAGGGCTAAGGATGTAGCTCAGTGAAGGCCCTGGATTCAATGTCCAGTAATAGAAAAAAAAAAAAAACTGAGACACCCTGAAACAGAATTCTTTTTTTTTTTAATTTTTTTTTTAACATTTATTTATTGTGGGGGGGGCCAGCTCAGCCCACCAGGGGGCGCAGCTGGCTGGCATGTGGTGCTGGGGGATCGAACCACGGTCCCTGTGCTTTGCCAAGCTTGTTCCAAGTAGGCGCTTTAGACCACTGAGCCATCTCTCCAGCCCCTAAAACAGAATTCTATTGGAAGAATTGGTGCAGACAAAAGGATATCTAATGGGTGATACAGGATCACCAATGGCAACACCAGTAAGTAGTGTGCAAATTATCTCCACCAAAATTTGTATGATTATCTCCTCTGTTGGCTATATAAACAAGATTTTAACTTAAGTGTGGTCTTGAGTAGACAGCTGTTCTTTTAAATCACTCCTTCTCCCTCTTTTTTCCTCTGTCTCTCCTTTAGGCCATGCTGAGGATTGAACCCCCAACCTTGATATATGCTAAGTAAGTGATCTAACATGAACTGTACCTCCTAGCCCTCAGGTCGAACACTCTGTGAGTCTAATACTCAGCCATATCTAAGTTTAACAGAAATAGGCAAACATACAGTTGCAAAAAATTAAACATGTTTATGGGGAAATTATCTTGATTGAAAATAAATAAGATTAAGTCTAGGATCTCACATATTAAATTACATTTTTCTTGAACTGGCTGCACGAGATTTTTTTTACATAGCATAGAATGAGCTCAGTAGTTACTACTTGTGTGTCAGCTTTAATCTCTTCACAATTTTGAAGATTATTTTTATCAAAGACCTACTGTTAAAGGTCTATTTTGTAAGAGGTATGGACCTTGAGATAGCCAACTCTTAAATACTATGATCAATGAAAAAAATCTAGATATATTTATCAAAAATTTGCAAAAAGTTTACCAAAATTTTGCACAAAGTTTGCCAAAAGTTTGTACAAAATTTATCAACTATATTAACTATTGACAAAATAAAGCATATTATAGTCTTTATTTCACTCATTGTGAATGAATGCAGGTAGGCAGAGTTTTTCAACTCCAGTTGTGTTGGGTGCAAGGACAAAATGAAAGCATTAGGAACTATGTTGATCCTCAAAACCTTTCCATAGGGGCCGGGGAGATGGCTCAGTGAACTAAGCTCTTCCCTGGCAAGTGCAAGGGCCTCAGTTCAATCCCCGGTTCCACCAAGAAAAAAAAACCCAAAAAACCTTTCCATGAACCCCAGAACAATGATTAACATGTCTCTGCATCTGCAATAGAAGGGAATTTCTGTTGTTACTCAAAATGTGGAACTATTACACACCACCCAAGAGTGACGCTGTGATAATGGATTACTAGAAGGGCATGACCACAAAAAGCTTTGAACACATCAAATCTTATGGACAGAACTTTTTTCCCTTTCTTCTATTTCTTTTCTTTTCTTTTGCAATGCTGGGGCCTTGTGTGTGCTGAGCAAATCCTCTGCCTCCGAGTTACAGCCCTAGCCCTCACTTTAATGATTTTACTCATACTGCTGTGGTCATGTTGCCTACATTCAGATGTCAAAAGTATGACTGAAAACCTAGAAAATGTATACACAGAATATGTCTGTAAAAAAGCTGATCATGTTACAAATGAAACAAACAAACAAAAAAGAAACCGTAGTGTGGAATTTTCTACCTGCTTTGTATTCTATTCAAATAATGCACAAAGGCTGATTGAAAGAGCCGAACTGCTGAACACACCAGCAGGGCAATGAGCCCGGACTGCCCAAGGCCTGAGTTCCTATCACCAGCACAGGGAACTGCTATCTACAAAATGTTTCTAGGAATTTCTGGTCGCTGTTACCTTTTCTTCTCTCTTTCTTTCTTTCTTTCTTTCTTTTTTTTTTTTTTTTTGGACAGGGTGTACAGAGTCTCACTGTGTAGATTGGACTCAGTGATCTTCCTGTTTACAGCCTCCCAAGTGCTAGAATTACAAGCATGTGCCACCGCGCCCAGTCTCAATCTTCATCTCAGTGCACCATGGGGAGGGCAGGGGTGGGGGTGGGGCCAGCACAGCAGGCCTGGGGATCGAACTCCAGGCTCTTGTGTCTGCCTAAGGAGGCACCTTAATCCACTGAGCTATTTGGCTGGCCCTGATCCCTGTTTTTTGATCCTTGTTCTCAGAGGGGAGTTTTTGCAACAATTGCTTATCAAACAGCATCAGGACTGACATACACAGTGGTGTTTGAAGCCCTTTCCACAAAAATGTACATTTTCCCACCATTTAAAATAATTTAATAAAGTAAAGCTTTTTCCTCAGTGTTGTGGCTGAACCCAAGGCTTCACCCATGCTAAGCAAGTGCTCTATCATCTACCTACATCTTCAGCCCCTAAAACATATATAAAATAAGCAAAATACCTGTCCACATGTATATTACCTGTTTCTGGCACATGGACGTATTTTGTGAAAACTACGCAATGAAAACTGACTACTCAGGTATGCCTAGCACTGATTCTCAGGCCAGAAACATTTTTCATAAGTGAGTCAATTAGAGCCATGGTTCTTCCATCTTTGTTTTTTATCAGGGCTCTTCCTAATGAGTTGTTTTGAGACATTTAAGAGAGGGGGAAAAAGTTTCAAATGTTTACAGCAATTACAAATAATCATAATTCAAGAAAGGAAAGTCTTCTGTAGGTAACAGTCAAGGGAACAGGCCATTGATAAGCAACTGGCTGCAGAAGACTGTGGACACACCTCCTCCTGACATAGTAGAGGAGACCCGTCTCAAACATAGCACCACTATTGCTAGCCTCTTCTAGCTGGCCTGGCAGAATGTGAGCAAAAGAAGCTTCAAGCTGTGCCAGAACAGTCACTTATGTCCCAAGACATACCAGAGAGAAGAGACCCAGAGAAGAGTTCAACATCTTCATCCCCTCCCTACAAGGTTATTTCCCCCCCCCCCACACACACAAGGTTTAAAACAGAAAATAAGTGAGCAAGAAGGCCTTGAGAAAGCTCCAAAGCACAGCAACATGGACATTCCCAACCCAGGAAGTTCCTGACCTAAGCAGGGCTGGAATTTGGCAAGACTTGCTGGGGAGGTATTCTCCGGGAAGGCAAGAGTACACCCTGGCTCGTGGGAGATAGTAGACAAGATTAGTGGTAGTATACAAGATGTGATGATGGCTTTGGAATGGCACAGTGGCATGATAAGGTCTTGTCATTCTGAGGGGTCCACAGGCCAGTAGTCCTCCCACCTCCAAGGCCTCGGTCCTATGCTTCCTCAGGTGAGGAAGCCTTAGTGGGGTGCAGAGCCTCACCTTCAAGATGGGAGCCAGAAACACCGAGATTCCCGTCAGGATGAAGACAATGATGCCAGTTACTCTCTGTTCCCTGGCAGAGAAGAGCACATTGTCAGGGGTGACCGCCAAGACCTTCAGTGACCATTCCCAGCTGTCTGCCCCTCAGTGGACTCTGGAGGTTATGTCTACAGCCATGACTTCAAGGGATTTCTGCATGAGCCTGAGGCCCAGCTGACACACCCAGGGTAGACAGGTGCCTCTGACAGAGGGCAGGATATGTTGAAGGTGCATCAAGAAGATTGTTCAGAGGAGTGTCTAATGAGGCTGCTTGAGTTCCATGGACTGGGGCTGGATTCTGGCTCTGCCATGTACTCATTATGTGGCATCAGGCAAGGTCCTGGAGATCTTGAGCTGAGTAGAACAGACAATCATGGCACCTACATACCTACAACCTTGCCTTCTGGTGAAAAAAATCTCCTACTGCTGGTGGAACCGGGGTCAGTAGTCAGACAGGCAGGTTTTCCTGAGTGCCAGGCCCATGTACAACACAGGTTGGAGCCCTGGGCTCTGTGTCAGGTTCCTTAGACCCAGGAGCTCAAGGGACTACCCAGGCCTGGGTCTTACAGTCAGTCAGGGAGGCCTCCCTCAGGGCTGGATGGCACCCATGTGTCCCAAGGCATAGGGAGAAGCCCACAGGGCAGTTCTTTAGGAGGCTGCCTTGGTCTGGTGTGGACTAAGGAGACCTAGGAAGAAAGAAGATGTGCTTCCCTGCCTGAAAGAGCTTGGGAACCTGACACAGGTATGGGAAGAACCACAGAGAAAAGCACAGAAGTGCTAGGCCAAGGCCATAGTCCAAACCACAGGGGTGAGCCCAAAAGTCTTTCTGGAGGAATGGAGATAAAGCAGGAGGGTCTTGAGCATCCAAAGGAGGACAGGAAGAGGGCTCATCACACTAGGTAGTGAGAGCCTCTAGGGCTCATGTGTGTGGATGTGTATTTATGAGTGTGTGTATGTGTGTGTGTGTGTGTGTAAGTGTGTGTGTGTACTGCTTGGAGACTACAAAGAAAAATACACCACTTAGAACTGAATTTTCCTCTCCTTTCTGGGCAGGATGTCATTCCTGTCTCCTGGGATATCACAGTAGGAGCCCTTTTCACTGAAATTCCTTGATGGTAGGAAAAGCAGATTTCCCTTCTCCCACTCACGTTCAGAGGATCTAGGCCCAAATGCCTCATACCTGACTCCCAGGAACTGGGGCTGCTCCCCAGGGGCGCTGGTCTCTGTCTCCATCTTGAGGCTGTCAATGTGGGCAATGGAGATGACTGTGGCAGCCACGTACCAGGGGAGCCCCGTGAAGGAACACAGGGCCATGAGGATGCCCACCCAGAACAGGTCCAGATGGTAGCCGGCAGCCTTCTGCAGGGGCAGTGGGACATAGAGGCAGTGGGCCTTCTGGGAGTCTGTTCTTCAAAGCAATCATTTTGTGACACAGTTTAATCCCCACACCCTCTTCTGGAGTTACTCTGTGAGGGGACTGTCACCCTGAGCTGCCCCTTGTGAGGACTTCAGAGGTGTTCAGATCTCACCATTCCCAGAGGTTGCTTCTTGCCACCTCATCTGAAAAGGTCAGCTGGGTAAGGGGCACAGGTAGTAGGAGAGAGGAATGTTCATGCTTGGAAAGGCCCTAAGTTTGGAGAGAGCTCTTGCTCAGTGGCTACGGTGCCTCTGTAATTTCTGAAAGAGGAGCCTGAAGTGGGCAGGCCTTCCATGTCGCCTACAGTGGGGTCAGGGAAAGGGTAGCCTGAATCTTCTCAGACCCAGAAGCAGAGAGTTTCAGAGAAGAGGGGTCTAAGGTTTCCTGACCTCATAATTGCAGGCCTATGCCTCTGTCAAAAGTTCGATTCTCCCTAAACTCCCAAATTCCCTTTTAATAGGCACAGAGCAGGAAGGTTACATTGAGAGGCAAGAGTTTTGTGTCCAGGGACCCAACCTGGACTCAGTCCTGAGCCTTAGTCACATCAAGTCACACCATCCCTACAACACAAGTGGGAACTCGCCTTCCACTCAGGGTATTGAAAGAACATCTCCCTCCTTAAATCCTTCCACATTGCTTCTAGCACCACCTCACCTTCAGTTTGTTCTCCTTCCGGTTGACAATGACAGCTGTGATCTGCTGGTCCATGAAGATCAAGATGGTCACCAGCAGAGCGGGCAGGATGCTTGCCAGGTACACCCACCACGGGTTCTTCCCAAAGGGGGCCACAAACCAGCCTCGGTCAGGCCGCGTGGGCTGAGCAGAGCAAATGAAGAGGGTCCCTTCTCTCTCCCCTGTTCCAGCACTTGCCTGCTGGCCACTCTCCCATCTTGCTACCTCTCCTCCACCCAGAGGTACATTTAAAGTACAAGATTTTCCCTTATGGATATTAGGCACCTGCAACTTTAGAGACCACAGAGGCAGCAGTCAGGGGCAAGAGGGTGAACATAGCTGGGATCTGCAGCATTAAGGAGGTAATTTGCTGCAGCTGCTCTGGGGTCAGTTGGAACACAGGAAGGCGATCAGAGAGGGCAGCTGGGAGGAAGAATGTAGTCACTAATTACAAAACAACATAAAACAGAAAGGAGGCCATACTGGCAAGAGTAAAGTGTTTGATGGGTCCAGGGTCTGACACACCTGCCTCTCCTGAGTCGCCTGTTTGGGAAACATTCTAGAATTGTAAAACATCAAACATCAATTCAGACCTGCATTTTGAGAATAAGGGGTTATTTGTGTAGGAGCCGATGATTTTCTTTTGCTGTATTTAAGAGAGATAGATTCTTTTCAGAGCAACAAGTTGTATGTGTTTAAATCACCCAGGTAAACCCTGAAGCAATATCATGAAAGTTAAGATCTCAAAAGCAAAGAGGGTCATTCTAGATTAGAGCCTGGACTCTTGACCCTGGTTAGATGGCTAATGCGTCAGAGAGGGAACTGGGCTTGAGCTCAGCCACAGGCAAGCTCTCTGAAACTGTGGATCTCAGCTTTGAATAGTCCCAGAATGGCCCAAAAGACGTGTGAAAATGCAGGTTGCCACCTGCAGCTCGTTTTTTCAGATTCTTTAAGTGGAAGTGACTGAGAATTTGCATTTCTAACAAGTTCCCAAGTGACCAGGTGATGCTAGTCCAGAGGCCATGATTTGAGAATGGCTTCTCCAAGGGATCATTTTCAACAGATCCCAGCTGGCTCAGCTTGGAGACTGCCAAGGTTAGGGAATTGGAAACAAGAGGCTTCACTAGCATCTTCCTCCTTCCAAGATTTCACTGATTATGTTCCTAACCCTCTCATCAAGGAAGTCCCCAGTAAACTATACAGGAAGGAAGGGGTGGCACACACAGAACCAACAGGGTCTAGGTTGGGGGAAGAAAATTTGCTGAGAACCAAGGACCAAGGGCTACAGCTAGTGCACAGGCAGGATGAGTGTTCCAAGGGGGGGTGCAGGGGGCAAACCTTGATAACACTGGGCACGTGCAGCTTGGGCGTTTCCAGGCCAAAACAGGCATCGATTCCACAGAACAGCAGGATAGAGAAAATGATGGAAAAGTCAGCCACCAGGGCCCGGACCTGCGGAAAGGAGAGGGGCGAGGGAGCAAAGTACTCATTCCAGGCTGACCCAGTCCTCCAGCAGCAAAGAGGAGAACAGTGAAAGGCTGCATTGAAGCTCCCAGGGCTATACACAGATCTTCGCAGCTGTGTGACTTTGGGGCTGCATGTTGTCTTGCCTCACTTTCCTCCTCTTTGAGATGGAAATAATGGGGGTACCTACATTGAGAGCAAGTGAGCTACCGCGCATTCGAAGTACCTGGCATGGAGTATCAGCCTGGGAGCTGCGATCCATGGGGCCATTTGCTGGTAGAGTACACTGAACCAGTATATTATACTGAGCTGGCTCACCCAGCAGGTGTAGTGGGGCAAGACTGAACTCAGAGGAAACCTGAGCCCCTGCCTTGGAGAGCGTGCTGACTGTTCATGGGTGCAGAAGGGGAAGCGCAGGGGAGAAAGTACTCTGCCTGTTGAATGAGTTCAGAGTGTCTAAATGAGTTCGTTGTTCTCTATGTATGTCTAGTTAATATTTCTGGGCATTAAAAGGTACATTTTGCCTGAACTGCATAGCAAGACCCTGTCGCAAAGAAAAGGATAAATTTTAACACCCAGATTATGTCAGAGGTAACAAAATAATCCATATATATATATATATATATATTTGGCTTTAGTTTTTTTGTGACAGGGTCTCACTGTGTCATTCAGCCTGTCCTGAACTCACTATACAGCCCAGAGTGACCTCAAACTTGTGGTACGGGGTCCTCCTGCCTTATCCCCCAAAGTTTTGGGATTACAGACATACATGTCCTTTGGTTAGTTTATAGGAAGAACTGTTTTCTGGAAGTGACCTTTGTCAAAGCCACCTCTTGGAGCTAGATGTGGTCCTGAACTTAGTCACTGAGGTGGTGAGAGGGAAAAGGAGAGAGGTTAGTGTGAGCAAAGGCTCTTTGTTGGTAGCTTAATACTTGGAAGAAGTTTGAGATTATACTGTAGGTGTGTATGTGCAGTTTTGGTAAAGGATTTGGGCTTATTGTATGCAAAGTTCATACTCTGTCACACAGCATTTAAGCCTTATAGCTGTCCTGAGGTAACACGGTATGATTTAAAAATAGAGGTAGGTTAAATATTGTTATAAACTGATAGAAAAGATGCATCTTGGCATTTTTACACTATTCTAGACAGTGTGTGTCAGGACTTGTCATTCGGCTGGAGCAGAGGGACAGAAGGAAGCACAGGAGAGAGGTGCGCACAGCATGTTCAGATTTACGTTTCAGTGAGGACCACTGATGTGGGTGCATCTTCTCGCTATATGATCAGGATGTGTTCATAATTCAGTAGGAACACACCTCCTTGCTAACCCCTTAATAGTAGAGCTTTAACCAGGTGTGATGCAGTATGCCTGCAGCCCTATCACTTGGGAGGTTCAGGCAGGATTGCCACAAGTTCAGGCCAGCCTGGGCTACAGAGTGAGTCTGCACCAGTCTGAGCCATGTAGTGAGACTCCATCTCAAACAACACAAAACACCAGTGAAGCTTTTGAGGCTAACATAGGAAGATATCTTTGTCCAATATTTTCCTCGAGGAAAGTTTTACTGTATTAAGTTATAGTTACTCTTAAGAATTTCTGTGTATCAAAAGATTCCATTATAAAAGTAAAAAGCTAGTCACAGAGTAGAAAATATGTTGAGAAAACATATAATTAAAAAAGCGTAACAATGTATAAAGAACTCCCACAAATCAGAAAGAAAAAGACAACCCACAAGAAAATGTGCAAGAGATTTAAACAAACACTTCTAAGAAGAAAGTCAAATGGTCATGTAGGAAATAAATACGTGAAAATGTTGTCAACATCATTAGTCATCAGGGCAATGAAGAATTTAAAAATCATAATAAATTACTAGTATTCAAAAAGTTAAATATAGGGGCTGGTGAGATGGCTGAGTGGTCTAAAGCACCTACTTAGAACAAGCTTAGCAAAGCACAAGGGACCGCGGTTCAATCCCCCAGCACCACGTGCCAGCCAGCCCACCCCCTGGTGGGCTGAGCTGGCCACACACACACACACACACACACACACAAATAAATTTTAAAAAAAATTTTTTTTAAAAAGTTAAATATAAAAATCCACAAATACCAAGACCCAGTCCTCCATGACTCCAAAGTCTGAGCCCCTAACTTAAACTCCCATTGGCCAGAGACCACATGGTGTCTATTATGTTAGGGGACAGACTCTCTTAGGAGACTCAGCAGAGCCCTCAGTAGGCCTGACTTTATGTCCCTCAGAACTGCGGGGTGCACTTACCTTGGTTGGAAAATAGCGGCTGAATTTGAACTTCTTCAGGGTCAAGGTCATGGAGTATGTCCCAAAGAAAAGGATGAAGGACATGAGCGCCAGGTCTGGGATGAACTGGCAGGAGCTCCCAAGGAGGCGCCCACCATAGCTCAGGCACTCTTTCTTGCTCAGCAGGGACCAGTCCAGTGCTGTGAGGTTAAGGGGATTGTACTTGGAGACCAAGCACAGGAGATAGAGTCAGGACCTTCCTGGTGAGTCAGCTGTGTCCTTTCCTCTGCAGTTCCAGGCAGCCCACACATCTGCCCACCCTCTAAGGGACCCCAGTCCTCCAGGCAACAGTAGTGCCCTCAGCAACAGAGTGGGATTCCTGGGAACAGGCTGGTTCAAGGAGTGACAGGTAGGCAGTTCTCTAGAAGATCAGAAGCTGACACAGAGGATGCATGGCTCTGCTAGCAAGGAGGAGTAGCACGAGGGTCAGGGAAGCCCTTTCACTCAGCACGCCGGGCTCCTGTCCTGGTGAATCCACCTCAGTGGGTCTTGCTGACACCTCTGTCCTGGGGTCTTATGTGTATACCCTCCTTTTCTTCCTCTCTGTCACCTTACCAGTCCCTTCTTGGAACATTTCAGTTACTTCCTCCCAATCCTTTGATATTTCAGATCCTAAAATCCAGGCTATGCAAAACAATGAAATTATATGCATAAATATAAAGTTTGTATCCTTTGTATCTATAGGATTGATCCAACTGTAGATCAAAAGCATTTTTTAAGAATTGTATCTGTATTGTGCAAGTATGGACTTTCTCCCATTCCTATTCCCTGAATACAGTATAATAACTATTCACATAGCATTTATATTGCATTATGTATTATAAGCAGTCCAGAGATGATTTAAATTATATAGGAGAATGGGAATAGGTTAGATTTAAATTTTGATCTTCTAGGGGATTCTGGAATCAATCTCCAAAGGATGATTGTGTTTATAAATTCCAAAGAGTAATAAGAGGAAGAAAAGGACAGTGATTATAATAAAATTGAATATATTAATATTTTTATTTAAATTTAAAAAAAACATTTATTTATTTATTTATTTATTTATTTGGTACAGGGTCTCACTATGCAGCTTGGACTCATAGTGATCCTCCTGTCTCAGCCTTCCCAGTGCTGGGATTATAGGCATGTGCCACCACACTCAGTTTTGGTGGCCAGCTTAGTGCGCCCAGGATTCCGGGCCTGGCACAGCATGCAGTACCAGGGATTGAATCTGGGTCCTTGCACTTTCCAGGCAGGTGCCCAGACCACAGAACTATCTCCCCAGCCCCCAAAATTTTATTTTAAAGAAAAAAAAAAACAAAATTTCAAAATAAGATAATGGCAGTAATAATGGTTAATATATTGTACCAAATAAATAATGTGGACATGTTTAGAACAGCTATGCAGTGAAGTAAGCATATACTTGCAACTAGCAATAATAAATGTTTGGATTGGGGGCCTGCCCCGTAGCTCAGTTCTTTAAGTGGCTGCTTCAACAAAGCAGTCAGGCTCAGGTTGCTGTGGTTAAATCCCCACAACTCAAGCCAGCCAAACCTGCCCTGAAGGCATTCAGAGAAAAAAAAAAGTTTGGATTAAGACAAGCATAATAGCTTGTTTATAAATAAGATCCCCAAGGAATTGTACTTCCCTGTGTCCACACAGCATCCACAGTGTGACACCGATGGTTACCCTGTCCAAGGTGGAGTATATTTTCTACCCCTTTTAATCTGGGATGGCCTAAGCTGCATAGACTAATAGAATAAAGGAGGGTGAGACTTTGAACCAGTACATGAAGCCTTGCAGCTTCTGCCCTTATGCTCTTGGAAACTGAGACTGTGGTGCTGAGAAAAGGCCACATGGAAAGGCTGGCTAGGCCCTCTGAGCTGTTCTGTCCAAGCTCAGCCCAAAAGCCTGCTGGTTCAGTCGGCGAGGTAGCTGACTCCAGGCAGGACCTGCAGAACAGCCAGCCAACCTACAGAATCATGAGAGTCATAATTGTTGTTGCCTTCATTCACTGACTTTGAGGACAGTTTGCTATCAGGAGTTGATACAACTGAGGAGATCTGATGTGGAACCTTTCCACTGTCTTGCATCCTGGGGCTGTATCTACTCTGTGTACTCACACTCACCTGCCCCCAGTGACCCTCGTCTACTTTGTCTCTTGTGATATTTCCCATGCAGTCCCCTACCCTCACCCCATCTTGGACCCCCCACTGTCTGCTGCAGTCTCTGTGATCTTCCTTTCTGGCCTCTTGCTAGGATGTTCCTTTGATCTGGAATACGCTTCTTTCTACCAAGCCAACCTCCTTTCAACCTGGGACACCAAAACACACTCCATGGTCTTCATGAGGCTTTTTCCATGACCTGCCACCAAGGTCGGGAGTACACACATGGCTTATATTGGATGCATGGCATACTCTGTGTCATCCAATAACTTTTCAGTTTCAAAAGCAAGTTGGAGCATAAGATTGGTACTGTTTCATAGAAATCTGCAATGACCTTTAAATAAGGGTTCATCTAATATATTTTTATATAGTGCTGAATAACTATCATATTGAGAGCTCTTTATTGTTCATCAAGGAGCATACTGCACCTTCTCTTGCCTTTTGAATTATGAGCTTTGTTTTTCCTATATGCTACTTCTGGAGGTATTAAAATATTTCAAGTCTGTATAACTACAAAAACTTACTTTTAGTTTTCAAAGGTATGTTTGCTAAGTATAAAATTCAAAGAGGACAAATC